TAATAACAAGCAATAGATGGGAATTTTTTTCCAAAATCCAATTTTTTCTTATCATATTTTTAGAAAAATAACATTGAAAATCATATCGTTGAATTTATTCTACTTCAGAAAAATTATTTTTTATTGCGATTATCCCAGGAAACGTCAGCGGGTGGCACGCTAAGTAATCGCAACAGCTGGATTGATAGCCTAGAAAAAGCCCTTTTTAACGACTCCGGGTCTTTTTTCCGAACACCGACCACCACTTTCCTATTACCTATACAAGAGAGGAGCAAAGTGTATTTAAAAAAATCATTTGAATTTGCCTCAGCCTTTAAATAACTCTCAATTTAACCATATTATTATATTAACCACAATATTAGAAATTTTTGTAGCAACAGAGCTTTAAAATTAGAAGTACGCCCCTATAATTTCCAGCATTTTCTCTTGGCCGATTTACTTCTTTTTTAAAATTTTTATTGCCGTCCGTTTTCTTAATACCGTACCTCGTTGCCCTTACTGGGACACTCCTTTCCGTCTTCCGTCTTTAAACAACGCGACTTTTAATGTCTTAATTGCCTGTTACTTTCAATTTTTTGTGAATGACATTAGAAGCCCATAAAAATTAATATATATAGAATATCCCTGGATGGATTAAATTATACAGGCGTTATAATGAAATGAGTATCTATCAACGCGGTGCGCTTGGACTAGTTTTCATTATTTAGATATATCGTTCACAACGGCTCACAAGTCCTGCATTGTTCTCTAATTATACCCGAGACGTTGCCGTAACAACTTCGCAGTCACAGGCGTCACGACGTCATCAATTTGTGTCTATAAATATTGTGTCGTTGTTGGCACCCAAGAATTATTGGTTTAAATAGGGCTGCCGGTGATAATTCTATAAGATACGATGTATTGCTTGAACGTATCCGATAATTGTTTTCTTTTAATTATGCTGCCTTGTTAATGAGTATCGCTTAGATAATGTACCATTATAATGCGCAAAAATACTTCTAAAGATGCAATTCTGTTTGATTAGTCATAACAGTGAGTGTCGAAGTTTTATGTATTTCACACGATTTGGAGAACACTTACTATTTATTATTTATTTATTAAAGTATTAAATAATGTATACATTATTTTTAAATTAATGAAAGCATAGTTTTTGTACCACTCTAAATATGAAATATTAAGAAAAAAAGCAAAAAATTAATTAGCAATTTAATTTAAGTTGTGGAAAAGAATAATTGATCACATTAGGAGCTTTTCATTTTTTTGAATTAAGCTGCTAAACAGTTTTTGATTTTTCGCATTTATTTAGAGTCTCGTTTCGTTTTCGGGATAGCAAAAATTGATTTTTTCTATGTGCAGAAAATAATCCTTGCAAACCATGGTCAGCTGTTCTCAAAGAAATATCACAATACCGGCAATATTCTCTAATTCCAATTTAATTAATAAGTACTTTGCTACATATTTCAGAATATTTCAATCTGTGACCAACAGGTTAACTACTATTTTGAATAATAAATAATATTAATAAATTTTAAATTCAATCAAATCGAATGCAACCGGGGTCGACTAAGTTTCACCACTAATGCTAAAATATTGTGGTCCTTTTATATATAAATATCATAGACTGCTGCTTGGAAAAAATAGGTAATCCTAACCGTCTTGATGGTCTACGAATAATTAGTATTATACCAGCAATTAAAAAAATATTTGCGAAAATTTTATAAACAATAATATCATTCCGGCTGTGCAGTGCGGCTTCAGGAAACATTTTGGGACTTCGGTTGCATTAACTAATGTTGTTGATGATAGAATCAGAGCATGTGACAAAAATAAGTGAGTTAAAGTTCTATAATTTCTCATCAGCACAGTGCAGTTTAATTAGGTCATATCTACCAAACAAGTTTCAAATAATATTCTCTAATAAAGGACTCTATTTTAGGGCCATTGCTCTTATTTTTATATTGCTGACATTTCTAACTCCGTTCTTTGCAGTAGGAACAGGCATTTGCCGACGACACGCAGCTTTATTGTTGTTTTGATGCCGATGACTATGTCTAATATTTACGTATTGTAAGTGACTCTTCTAGAGGGCACAACCTCAAATTAAACCATAGGAAATCATGCGCCATGATTTTCGGAAATAAAAAGAAGACTATGGCTTTAGTCGGTTGACTTAATATTAAACGTTATGACACTAAATTAAAATTTGTAACTACTGCAACGAATCTCGGTGTTGTATTGGATACTCAGCTCCGGTTTAAGGAACATTTAAAATCTATGTTGCTATCTTTCGTCGTTCTTTTTCGTATAACTCAATGCGTTGTTATAATTGAATACCCAAGCACTGTATAAGTCTGAATGTTAAAACTTTTCAATACACATGTAAAAAAATTATCTTAAATTGGGTTTAAGCAAACAATAACATTTTCATATTGTAAATCTGTTTATGGTTTTTATAGTTTTTTTTTATATAGGTATTAACCCTAACTAAAAAGCTTAAGTTTTTATTGCTATGAATTAATCGAATGCGTAATGTCTAAAGTTAAATGTATTGGCTAGACATCCAACGTCCAGTTCAGTAGAGTAGCTTTTAATAAAGGGATTTTATTATTATTATTATTATTATTATTATTACATGTACAAATGTACATATTTTACATTAAATAACACGACCATATGACATGAAAATACAAATAATTAGTGGCGCACGTTTTTTGTCAAAAAGATTAAAACTGTCAAAGTTGCACATAGTTCACTAATAAGTTGACGACTATTAATATATATAGGAAAAAACTATACTTGTATATTTTTAAAGTTTGGCAAACTGTTTTCCGAGAAATACTACTTTTTATTCAACTACCTGTATAATGCGTTTAGTTCCATAAATCAAATCATTATTACATATGCCATCTTGGATCTTAATATAGATACGCGAAAAGCAACCGATTATTTTCAAATTTTCGATTGTTGTCGTTTAAAACTGTTACGTCATTCGATTTCAGTCGTCTAACCGAACTACGCGGATTGCCTGGATTTCTCCGCGATTAAAAAAGCCGGCGTTAATTTAACTCAAACAGGTGAAAGTTAAACCGTTCTGGCAAATGATCCGTGAAATAAAACGTCAAATCAGTCTGCCATAAACCATGATCCAGTCGGTTAGGAATGGTCCCTAAATTCAATTGTTTTACCGGGGCAACTAATGTTTCCCAGTTTGGCCGCACCGTATTAAGCCACCAAACAGATTCTAGATTTAAATTTCATCATTTCTATCAGGTAAAGTATAACCGACATCTAATAGAGGTCACGTTTTATCAGTTTCCGCTAAACGATAAACAACTGCGTTCCGTTTATTAGATTAATTAGTTATGAGACACAAAACTTTTTGTTTTTTGTTTGTTAGAGTGCAAGAAAACCTTCCAACATGAACAACTATATGTTTCAATCAATCATATTTTTAAAATCATATCCTATATTGAGAATTTAAAATTAGACAACAAACACTCTTTCCACAATGTAAAAAATATACGATTTTGTCATAATTCGAACTCAGAAACGCAGGAAAATGTTTTGTATTTAAATAGTAAGTTTCATAATATTGAACTATGTCAATTTTCAATCGTTCAATTTGACCTTATACTGGACATATTTCTCTACTTAAATAGGTTCATGATTCAGTTCCAGGACTACTTTTATTGATGCCATAAGCGACCGTTAAGCTTAAATAAATATTTGACAGCATTTTATATGACTTAAAATGGTCTAGAACTTTTTTACCGTAATTTATTAATTAATAAAAATTAAATAATAGCACATAATTCACCTATAAACACGGTGGAGGTGAAGAAGTGATAATGTTTTTTTAACTAAATGGTCCGCCTTTTCTGTAAGAAAAATGCAATTTTAATATTTTTTGAAAATAATATTTTTGAAATTAAATAAATTATTTTAAGAGCACTAATACCCCATGCAGCACAAGTGGTACACTTTTTAAACATATTCTGATATTTTAGTGTTAATTTTTCTAAAATGTCGGAAACAAAATTGTGAGTGATTTGCATCACTTTAGTCTTTGGATAAATTAAACTAAAATTCGTCCAGTCACATACCGAGATGAGCAAATTGGGATGTTTTTATAGATATCAGTGAATATAAGAGATATGGATCTATCGTCATTTATCAAGCTATATCGACAAGCACGATTTTTTACGATATCAATCAATAAAGAGAAGATATGTAATAGATTTGGAATTTTGGCCTTCGTATATAATATTTAATAAATCATATTTGCTGTTTCTTTTCTTTTCAGAAATGTAATAACATGGCGTTGAAGATTCGTGGGAAGTTCCATTTTTCAAAATAAACCGAATTTATCGTAGGTGCAACTTTTCATTGTTTTTGGACCATCCACGTAGTAGATATGCAAAAGAGCTGTTGAAACTAGTTTACTAACATTTTTAAGATAGAAAGCGGCTGTTTCGCTTTGAAAAATTGCTAGTAATGGTGCGCGACTTTTTTAAAATTAATTAAATATGATAAATTTAACCAAAACGAATCATCTTTATTATTAACATTAGGGTTTTTCATAAAGTGAATGTTTCACTTAAGCGTATTTTTGACGTCACAAAGGGCATCAGAACCCAATATCTGCCGGCCATATTAAATTGCGTCATTATTAACTCGGCTCGAGATTAAAATCTTTCAAAGGACATTCATAAAAAAACGAATATCTGTCCACCTGTGCCCTGGCCGATCATGCGAGCACGCTAAAAAGATTAGGCATCTATACCCATCTCTCCGTCAAGTCCAGTCGACCAAAACGCGCGGCGTCTCTCATATACACGGCAACAAACGTACACCTGCTCGACCGATCCAAAACACAAATTCCTTCGCTCAGCAGGACTGTTAACTCTCACACTTGTCCAGACAGCTGGCGCCAATGCGCCCACACCCCCTTCCCCGGCCATACCCCTGGCGACGAGATGCTTTTACAACAAAAACAATCATGTCAAACCCGGACTTTAGTCGGATCTAGTAAGCCGTGCATCGCAGAAGTGGTTGGCTGCACCGAGGCGCAGTCTTGAACGATCGAGTGACCGTCGACGGTATTTTGAAACAATCGAATTGACAGTTAAGGCGTTTGGCGGTAATTTTTGAATGTTTAAACTGGAACTAAACATCGCCCATTAGACGACGGTATTGGGTGACAGAATTAAGTGCCATTAGAACGTACTGCATAGGTACCAGTGCTGTGATTAAAATAATTGCCGAGAACCGTCCCTATTAATGAAGTTATGACGAATGGGAATGCCAAAATTACATTGAAAGGTTTGTATTCTTTTATCAGTACCAGGGAGATCAAGTGCGTGATGTGATAAATAATTACGAGTGTATTTGTAGTGCTCTGAATGGGAAACGAATTTTCCGGAGAAACATGCAACAATAATTTAAAATACAATTACTTGCAAAAACGCGGCCGGTCAAAGTTCGTTTTTTAAAATAATTTCCAAAAAATCTTCTCGTTTTTTGCCCGTACTTAATTTTTAATTTACGATTTTTATTTAATTACAATTTTTATGTGATGCGATGTGATTGCTGAACTTTTCAAACTATATTTTTAAAGGACAGGACTTAAAATCTATTTGACTTAATAATTAATTTTGTGTCTGCTTTAATTATTAAGTTAAGTTAATTTCATCTGTTACATATTGCTATACTTAGATTAGATTAACAGTTGGGAGAGCTAGCAGTCAGCCTGTCCGTTACTGCGACCCAGAGGATCTATTATTGCTATACTTACATATCTATACATATTTAATACTTGCTGATTTTGCCGGAAAAATGCAAACTCATGTTATTGTAATTAAATAATACATTTAGATTAGTTTTCGATTTTAGACAGCACGCTATATTATTTACTATTGTTTAATCATTGTCGCCGTTTTTCATCATCAATTTTACTTTTCTAATTTGACATTCATGTATAAAATAATTTAATTTTAAACGTTTCGCCATCCGACGTCCTGCACGTTGATCTAATAATGATAACACCATAAATCAGCAACATATCAAATATTGTGTCAGCACCTGTCGTCATCCGGACTGTAGGTTTTAATCAAATGCTAATATTGTTTGCCTTAGATTTCGGCGACTATACAAAATGCGTTACCCGGTAATATCACACCAAATGCGCAGATAAGGTACACGAAACACCTGCTTGTCATTTATTTGGTATTTAAGTATGGCAATATCGTGCAGTGTTGCAACATCGATATTTCATATACATTTTCAGCAGAATTGTATAAACTGCTTTGTCACTGTTGTTGGATTCAATAATGCGTTACTTAACGTCTAACTTTCAAGTTTGAATGCGAAACTTTTCGAGTGATTTACAAATATCAAGACTACAGAAAATTTCCCACATAATTTCAAATTCACTTCATATTGCAACGACCGCATCGATCGTTTTAAATCAACTGCTGCGAAAGACTATCGCAAAGCGGGCTTTTTTGATAATGCTTGATAATGCTTTCCCCATCGCAATGAGGTTTAAACTAGACGGCTGGTGAAATTTTGTAAAACTGACAACGTCGTTTTTCATTCAAAGGTACGATGTCATCGTGCAACGAGTGAGTTATTAAGTTATCTCAATCACCATTAATATTAATTTGACAAATACATCTGTAGCCCGCCGAGGGAATCATTTTGCCAAGTAGTAGTTATCAGTAGGGGAATAAGAACGTTCGAGATAATAAGTGCGTGTTAATAGTACGATAGTTTTGGTTAGTTTGCATAGGTTGTTAGGTTGGCATAACCGAATTCCTCCCTAAGTAAGTTACTTTTATTAAGAAAGTCTCGAATGATCTTGAAAGATACAAGTGGGGCGGATTGGTGGCCAAATAAATAATAGAAAATATTGTATATATAGGTAACGGAAACTTAAAATACTCCGGTATCTAATTGTATTGTATTGAAATTGTGAGTTCTAAAAAAAAATAAATCAACGCTGTAAAAAATTAGTAAAACTTTGTCTATTCCTGCGTGATGAGATCGTAAAGGAGGTGAGGGATACTCCTAGAAGGCATTATATGTCTCAACTTTAACAAAAAACCAAATCCTGTTACAATTACAGCATATCGTTTATAGTTTGTCAACAGTATGGGCAGAAATAACAATTTCTGTAAATTAAGTTACCCTTTTATGTTGTTACGGTGGGTCCGAGTGCACTGATTTGCACCGGCACTATTTCGATCTTATCAGATCATTACGATTTGCTGCTACGACCCGTTTCAACATCGTTATCTTTTATTACAGAATCGAAGATGTCGTCCGTTCCTGTGACTGAAGACACCGGTTTTTGTTCCGGCGAAGAGTACATGGAGAGCGAGATCCATTCGCCTACCGATAACAGCGAGGATAGCGTGGAAGTGAAAGTGTCGGTGATCTCCTCCCTTTGCAAAAATAAGCGGAAGCTGCAGGAGCCTTCCAGAAAGCGAGACGTCTTCTCCGGTCCGCTGAAAAAACGCATGTGCCTGAAGATAAAAGCCGAGAGTAACGAAACGTTGACGCCTTTCCGTCCGTGGAGCCCGCCAACAAGTAAAACCCCTTCGGCGGCCGTTTCAACGGCGACACAAAATTTTGCCGTACCGTTTCCGTTAAAATCCGAAAGTATTACCCTCACTTCTGCGTCGAATTTATCCTATTTTCGACCGCCGTCTCCGGTTCCACAGACCGAACCCGTCTCCTTGGTGATCAAACGCGAACAAGACGACTCCAATGACGTCAGAGTGCCTATGCATCCGCCTATCGCGAAACTTTCCGCAGTAGAAACGGAACGTATGATCCTAAAAACCAACGAACAGTTTCCCACGCTCCAGGTCGAAGCCATTGCCAAAGCCGCGGCGCCGACTTTACAATCTTCCACGTCCAAGAAGACGGAGCAGAGAAGAGAGCAGAGGAACTACAAAAACATGACGCGAGAGAGACGGATAGAGGCGAACGCGCGCGAAAGGACTCGAGTTCACACGATTTCCGCAGCCTTTGATACGTTGAGACGGGCCGTACCAGCGTATTCGCATAACCAAAAGCTGTCGAAGCTGTCGGTTCTGCGCATAGCCTGCTCCTACATCATGACGTTGTCGAGCTTGGTATCCAGCGACAATTCGGAACCCGTTACCTCGGAATGCGTGGACATGGTGTCCAGAACGATTCAGAGGGAGGGGAAATTAAGAAAGAAAAAGGACGACAACGATTAAGTGCCAAAAACGCGTTTGCCTTTGAAAATATGTTCCTACCACTCGAGTTGCCTATAACAAAACTGCAAGTGTTGAAGTTCTTCCAAAAAAGGCGACGCTCATTTGTTTTTGTTTGTATTTTTCGATGCCATGTTTATAGATTGTATATATTGTAGATGTAGTTGTTCGTTCCAGACTGCAGAAAAGACTATTTATTTGGTTATTTAATAAATAAGAAAAAGTGTTCCCGAATTTGTGTTTTATTATGCTTCTACCAGAGTACTTTCTTTGATATTAGCTGAGCCAGAAACCACTTACAAGAAACCCTATCCAGTTGTCTCGATACAAAATAACTTCCAAATATATAAAAAAAAGTCCTAAAAGAGCGATATTTTTTACGAATTGTAAAAGTCAGAAAAAAAATTAAATTAATTATAAAATAATAACATTAATATTGAAAACGTGTCATTTATATCAGTTGAATCGTAAAATTCTATCCCGGGTTCTGCAAACTTAAATTGACTTGTGTTATAACACATCTGATTGCTCTTAAATACAGTATTTAATTTTATTAAGTTATGTGGATTGTATACATAATTTATGAAAATGCGTAACTATAGTTTTTTGAATTTATATCAACCCAATAATACCTACAAGGGCCTTGACCCATGACGTTTTATGTTAAGTATTTTTGCAAGAAATAAAATTCCATTGGATTGGATATTAGGTTAAATGATGCTATATTAGAAAAAAAAGATGTTAAAACGGTGTCGATATGTAAAAATATTGAACTCGAATGAAATTGGAAATAAAGGCGTAAAAAGTTTCCTCGAAAGAGGGAACTTTCTTTGCATATCTTAAAATTAAGTGCTCTCAAATAAAATTAATATCTATTTAGCACCTGCAGTGCAGCAATGTCAACATTGCATTTCTTAGACTGTATTAATAATTACATCATTTTTAAAAGAAATATTTTTTCCTTGAATGGATTTTTTTTAACGAATTGAACAAAATGAGCCGTATATTAGGATCGTGCACAACAGTCCAAGTATTTTCTACTACTCATATTTGCTACGTACATGAAATTTAATCTTACAATAAGCATGTTCGAAACTAATTCTTCTATGGAATGGGAAATTTACGGACTGAATGGTGTACAGTCAATGGTAATGTTATAAACATTTTTTCACAGATTTTAAAATTAGTGAAACCTCACTCTTTTAAAGACATCACTGTATTTTGTTACCTTTGCACCCTTGAATAGATGAAATTGTTGCCATATATACCCATGAATACGAGTACTCCAATGTTGTTTAAAAAAAAATGAATGATAAATATTTTTCTGCTTTCAAGGACTACCACAACAAAAGTATTCGCTTAACGAATAAATTAGCTAGGCATGCCACGAAAGGTTTTAAGTCGTCCTAAAGCAAACAATTTCGGCATCCAAAAAATAAAATATATTTTTTCCTGACCATTTATGACAACATACGTTCAGTTAATTTTTTTATGATATTGAAATAGGAATTTAAAGGTCGCAAAGATTTATTATTCCATAATTTCCAGGGTCCTTCTTTAACATCCCTTTAATTGCGGTTTGGTTAAGCTGATGTAATTTCATCGGCTTACAGATTTCATCCCGCAAGTTCGGATTAACTTTTTATCCTCATTTATACGGGTTTTTTAATTAACATTTGAGAACTCCTGTTTTTTATTTAATCTTGAATCATTCAATCATCAATCACCAAAATAAAAATGGGATGAATCATATAAAAATATGCATCATTGAAAATCTGGTATTTTATGGTGAACAATTACAATATAGCATATACAAAATGAATTTGGATGGACGCTGCAAATATAAAGCTCGTACTTTACTTACGTAGTTTTTTTAAAACCAAAAAAACAATCCCTTTGTGGTGAAACATTTGTAATATTCTGATGATCTGGTCTTGATTGCTAATTTCAGATGAATTTCGTCAGCTTTTTTTTCATCAGAATAGGAAAATTTATGACGAAATTATATCTCAAAGGAAATTTCAAATATTTTTTGATAAGTTCCGTACTTTTTGTTACTTTCATCTGTAGCAACAAAATCAACTAATGAAAGCAACCTAGAACGTTGCTATTTTCGTCATCACAACATAATACTAAAAAAGGGAAATAAATAATGATGAAAATGCGAAACATAAACCCATTTACAAAACTTCTGGATTCCTTCTGCCCCCAATTTTGTTGAATCGAACTTGCTGGCGTTAGTTTCTTCAGAGCTTAACTGAGTTTCAGGTAAGCTCTGAAGAAACTAACAGAATGATTGGCGTCAGCAAGTTCAACTCAACAGACGCAGGAGGAATCCAGATGTTTTGTATTGCAGTAGCCTGTGGAAGTTTCTTGGAAAAATTAAACCTAAACGCTGTAAAATTGTAATCAAAGCTTCGAAACTAGGTAAATAATAATAATTACATAGCCTTCAATAATGAAAATAATAAATAAATAAAGTGCAAAACGAGAAATATAGCCTAAAATTATTTTTTACATCTAAGTAACAATACTTTCTTTAATATATTATATACACGACTCCTTAAAATATTGTTCTTTAAAAAACAAGCTATTCTGGATTGACTAAACTTTTTTTATGTAAAAATTGTTTCTTGAACGGCTGTTGTGTTCATCAATATTCCTAACATTTTATAAATAAGTATCACAGTAACTTGGTTGAGGCTCAGAGTTATTGAATTTATTTTTCCGTTTCTACAACTGCATTATTTATCTTAACATCGAAAATTTCCGCAAAGCTTATTGCACCGTTTTTATTTTTAATGAAAATACCTTTAGTATTACCTATTATGTGAAGGGTGAAGGGAAAAAACAGGGAATGTCACAATTTTTAAGAAATGGAAATGATAACGCCATCTAAAAGTATAATGCATATAAGAAGTAGCACCGTCTTATAAATATGTTTATTTAAAATATCGGTGCAAAATTTAAAAGGAGAGAATAAGGAGGGTCCACTGCAATATCAATCAAACTATAACAAAAAAGAAACGGTTATTAATCGTTTATTTTGCGTATCAGAGCAGGCAGAGTCTTGTTTTTTTTTTTAAGTATTTATTGGTACTTAAAGGTTTTCTGATAATAGTGAATGTAAAAATAACGGTGGTAGTACGAGAAAGTGGATGAAAATTGGAAGAGTGGTTGACGTTATTAAGAAAATGCGCCTACAGTTTCATGAAGGACGGCCGACATGCAATTGCAGAAAGACTCAGGTGCTTTGAAAAATTATCCAATGTAGAAAGAAAAGAAGTTTTACCATACTTTAATAGTTTGAAGTCAAATGATGAGCAAAACGCATATTTGGCTGGATTGATGTCTCTAGTGCTCTAGTTCAAAGAAGACGACCTCGTCCAGCTGAAGAAAACGCAAAATTTCAAATTGCATAATTTTCCTATAAAATAAGAGTAAAACGTGGCGTAGTTGCAGAGGAAATAAATGTGTTTTAAAAAAAGTTTTGTCCGAAATTCTTACGTTACCTATAGGCACATTTTTAGCACAAAGGTTAATTTGTCTTTTGGTTACCCAATACCGGATACAGTTCATATGACGAATTCAGGGTAAAATTCTGAAAGAGATGCTGAAGAAATTGGTAAATTAACAATACAAAATAATTTTCATAAGCGTAAGGCGTAGTCATGCTGGGATTTTAAAAAGGCTTCTTGCAAAAAGTCAAAAACATCAAGTGATTATGTTGCAATTGCGCTGGACTATCAAAAAAATATTTCATTGCCAAACGCCGGAACAATTGACGTGTACTCTCTGAGGCAGTTCTCTATGTACGGTTTCAATATTCATGTGTTATCTACATGCGAATCCATTTTTTACTCATATCCCCAAATAATTGCAAAGACAGGACCAAACTAACCAAAACTATTCCATGTTTCGCTTTATTCATTATGTCGTACATAAAAAAAAAAAACTAAGCTTTTGGAATCAGTCAGAATAACATTCCCTGAAAGAGTAAATTCCTATATGGAATGTGTTAAAAATATGGGGCTGGTAAATTTAAAAACGCACATGGAAATCCCGAACGACTGGTTCGAACTTTTGAGAAACTCAAAGATAAGGCCATCGCCTTTCGAAGTAGATGAAGTGAAACCAGTAATGGTTAAAAAATGGGATGTATTTTTAAGTGATAAATATGTTAAAAAATGCCCCTTCCCATACAGAAGATTAAACAAATAGAATTCATCCGGGAGCATCCCAATCTAATTAGTTTTCTAACAAAAGTTCTCCACAAAATCCTATTACTGCGGTAAAATCCAAAAGACCCTCAAAAGTCAAAAATGTATTACCAGAAGGGCAGTTTGAACTTCCATCACCCGCATATAAATGTAAATTACAACATTTCAGATTAAAGTATTTTCCGAATATTAAAAATGTTTGCACTTGGAAACTGAAATGGCAATCTGATTCTTTTTCTCTGCAAAACAAGTACAGCCTATAACACATCAAAATAGGACACATTTTTGACAAGTTTATTTAATCTTAGTCTGTCAAAAAATATTATCATTTTGATTTTAAATTTTCACATCTATTACCAATTTCTGCTGCAAAATACAAAAAACTGTTTAGGTTTGCTAGAAGTTTGTGCAACCAGAGCTCCACAATGTGACGTAGAGATATTCCTTGTTTTTTTCCTTTAGTAGTTAAGATTCTTCAGCTTCAGCTTCAGCTAAGGGACATCCTTAAGACGTCTCAAGGATATACGATGTTACTAATTGGAACGTCCACAGTATATCAGATCCGTATGTCCATAGGATGTTTGTTAGGACATATTAAGGATATCCAATTATACTAGTTGAGACGTCGTTAGTAGTTAGTGGATCTTACTTAATTATTAGGTTATTTATAACAGCCTATGAGAAATACTGGAAAAGTAATGTCCTGTAGTCCAATTGGTTGTACTACTACAAAAATTCTATCTCAGTATTTGGTACTCTCGTGTGATGGAACTAACCTATTGGGTATGGTTGGTGAAGTCATCACCGGAGTAGCAGGCGACATTTGAGATGCACAAGTTTTTTTCAATTAATATTTAATCTTTAATTTTGCTTTGATGGTCAAAGTGAAGGACTGCCGATTGATACCATTAATAATACACATTTTATATACATCTGATTTTTTTATATTGTAGATATGAGAAAATTGTAGGTATATAATATAGCAAAAATATAGAACAACCTAACCTAAAGTAT